CAGAACAATACTGGCAGGATCAGTACAATGAGCAAGGTCTTCTGACTCCCAGCCCAGTTCTCTTTGACTACATCCTATTCTCATGGGATGGGAAAGTTGAGTTGGTCAGAACCAAGGAAGTTGGCAGGATGGGTTGCCTGAAGTTTATTCAGCTAGCTGGAAGTCCGGATATAGTTTGAGCAGAGATTTATGATAATTCAGGGATGACATATATCAGGAATGGGAAGAAACCTTTGAAACTATTATCCCAGCTTTGACTGCTGAAGAAACCAGAGATGACATTGACAACACATCCTTAGTATAAAAGTTGATTCCCTCATTCTGCAACTTCCAAGCTCTCATTCCCAACTTCTGCTCTTTCTGACTTTCCCACTCCTAACACATTTGCAGTCCAAACACTGAATATCCTTGCTCTTCTTCTTAAAATCTTGAAGGAAAATATTTTTACTTTTTTCTAGAGGTTTTGTGATTCCTTATTGCTTAACCAGAGAGGAAAAAGATTAGTGTCTAAAGTGACATTGAAGGTGAAAAGCTGCCTAGTACTCCTGGCACCTCTGTGATTTCAACCTGAGATTTCACTGGCCTTGGCTTATTAATGGTCGTATATTAAGACCTAATTTATTCAAATTTTTCCAATTTGGAATTAGTAACAAATGTGATAGGGCTTAAATTGGGGTTTACTTTTGAGAATCAAAGAGAAAAAATTAAACTGAATTGTTAAAGTTGATGGTATTTAAAGGGGCCATTTAGCCTATTTAAGATAATTTTTTTTGTTTTGTTAATCCTCATATGAGGAATTTTTTCTCCCCAATGCTTTCAGAGATAAGAGGAGTAGAGAGAGACCTGGATGTGAGAGAGACACATAGACTGGTTGTCTCCGGCACATGCCCCAACCAGGGATGGGGCATGGAACTGGCAACCAGGGATGTGTCCTTGGCTAGGAATCCAACCATGATCTTTTGGAACCCAGGGCAATGCTCTAACCACTGAGCAATGCTGACCAGGGCTATGAGAATTATCTTTTAAAGTATTTTATAAATACCATTTAAAGCATGTTCAGAACTCTTTGAACCATACCTCTTGACAATTTTTATATTAATTACCTAGTATCTTTACCTGTTTAATAAGGAAGGTCTGAGATTTTCTGTTTGGGAATATATTAGTCTAATTTAGTCAATATATGTGTGTGTATGCATTGTAATTAAATTGCACTTCTGTAAAAAAAAAAGTATCTCCAATTTAGAATTTTGTTTTCTTTTGTGTTTCCCTTCGATAATGAGTATAGATTAATGAAGCTTTTATATGCTTGTATTGTGTGTGTGTATTTGCTATGAGTCATTATGGGTGAAAGCCACTATAGCATAGCAGCAATGCACTCTAATAATGATTGTTTAATAATGATTGTTAGTAAACAAATGATGTAGTGAGCAAAATGTGTTTCAGAATATCTGTGTTTATGTGTTATTATGCATTAGAAGAGTAAATAGGCTTATTACTTTGTCCTAGGTAAAGAATGCCTTTGGCAGGAGTAATAAAAGGATTTTTGAACATAAGTGCAACACACCCAAAGAGAAGGGTTTCAATCACCATGGAGCTGGGCTGTGGTAAGACAGTCTAACTGACTGTGGATACTAGGAGCCATGGAGGCACTACAGTTGGCCGAGGATGTGTCCTGTTTGGCAGCACTGCTTGCTGAATCTGAGCCCACCAGTGTCCAGCTGATGCTCAGAAACAGGACAGCAGATGACCTTGGCAGCATCAGTGGACATGTACCAAAGAAGATTATAAAAAAAAAAAAATGAGTCCAAAGAAAGAGAACCTGGAGCAAGGCTCCAAATCTAAATCAGGTTTCAAGGTGCAACTTGATTCGCTCTTTTAAATGGTATCGATATTTAGCTACCTGTTCTCTAATCACGCATGGTAACTACAAGAATTATATCTAAAACCAAACTGAGACCTACCGCCCAAGAATAATAGTGCTAGTGTAGATGAATATGAATACAGAGTTTTATTAAGGCCCAGTTTGCATGTCATACAATTCATTCATTGTAAATATACACTTCGATGATTTTTACTAAATTTATACAGTGTGGCCATCATCCTAATCCAACTTTAAACTGTTTCTATAACCCTAAAAGTGCCCTCATTTCCATTTGCAGTCAATCCCTGCTTCTGCCCATCTCCAATGATCTTCTACATCCTTTCAGGATTTTTAATTCCATTTATTAATTGACTTAGTCTTTTCCCCCATTACCATTTATTCCCTCTATGTCCTCTTCCACATCCATCCCCCCACCTTGCCCCATAATCACCATACTGTTGTCTGTGTCTATGAGTTCTCTATCCTTTCCTTTCCTTTCCTCTTTTCTTTCCTTTTCTTTTTTTTTTTTTTTTTCTTGGCCCTGCATTTGTAAAATTAAGCACATGGATACTTGCAGAGACAGGTTATGTTGAAACGGCTTTATTTTTTAAATCCATAAATATATGTTACTGACAAAAGTGGAAAAATCCTTGACTAAATCTTACTAAAGTGATATCTGTTTACAATACATATAGAATGTGCTTCGACAGGTAAGTAGAACGATGAGATTTGTACAGAGCAGCAGTGATGAGAGCAGTGCTCATCACGAAGCTTGCTGATGGGGGATGAAGAAACTGCAAGGTACAGACAGAAAAGTACTTCCATCAGTGCTACCATATATAATAAACACGGAATCCATAAATTGGGGTAATGCGTAAAAATGTTCATTAATCCCCCCTTAGGAAATTGTGTCCCCAAACTAAAAATATTACAGTAAGAATTGCTTTTTATTAGAGAATTTCAAGAATTCTTTACTACAAAATGTCTAGTTGAGTTACAGAACTAGAGGAATATTTGCCACTATGAAGCAAATGAAGGAGTCCTCCCATGGAGTGGCACTCGAGGGTTCCAGCGGAGTGGGCAGCAAAGTTGAGCAGGGTTCTCCCCCTCCCTCGGGAAGAGGACATGAAAGGAACATGGTAACGTCATTTCTCTGACTGATGAAGATGGGTGCATTTGCTGATTTACAAGATGGATTTGATGATACTGACTTGTACTCTCAATTTTGCTTCACAAGCTTTCACCGGGAGGACAATAGTGGCCGGCAGAGGGGCTAGGGAGGTACTAGGATGCCCAACTCCTAGCAGCCCAGAAGTGATGCTTCCCTTCCTCCAGCTGGATGGAAGCCCAGTGTCCAGACTCAGTCTTCAGGACCCAGGTTCTGGCGGGGGATAGGACATCCATTGCCACACAGAGCCTCTGCCGTGAACGCTCCTCTGTGGTGTGGAATGCAGTTCCCACTGGTCTCAAATACAGACAACATGCCCTTGTAGGCCAACCTCTGGACCTTTCTCCTCTAGCCCATCCTCTCTCAGAAATCAGAACTTCCTCCCTCCAGCTTTAAGGACCACATCAAAGTGAAAATTTCAAATTCAGAATTTCCCAATGACACAGATACCATAGGTAACTTAGTAGGTGTGTCTATATGTGAAGACTTCCATGGCACACAGTGGGTAGCCTATTGAATGGGTAGGCCCTTACACCTTCAGATATGAGAGCATCCCTAGGTGACCAAGACCCTGGGACCCACCCAAGTTCTGGTGAGGAGTCTGGTGGCTGACTAGGGCATCTAAGGTTGTCACCGTGGGGCAGACTTAATGGGAACCATGCAGCTCAGTTGGGATGGGGAGGAAGGTGAAGAAAGGAGGTTAATGAAAGCCCTAACATGTAAGAGTTGGATAAAACTTCAGAGTTCATCTAGTTAAAACCCCTCATTTTACAGGAAACTCAGGCACTGAGCAAAAATAGGACTATCCTCAGTCACATGGCAAGATGGAGACAAAGGCAGGGCAGAAGTGTATCCAAGAGACTCGGCCTCCAGCTTTTTCCTCCTGTAGTATGCTTCCTTCCGAAATCAAATATAGAGCTCAGGAAGACATATCTTTCATACTGACTCTGTCATTAAAATGCTGCATTTATAAAAAATAGCATCTGAACCCTGAAAAATACTTCATTAAAACAAGCTTCCTTGAAAATACTTCAGAGCAAGGTTTCCAGGTTTAGGGAAGATGATGGATGAATGTATGTGGAAGGTAACATGTCAAACACTTCCCAAAACCATGCCTTCTAGGGTCCAGGTCACCAGCAGCCCTTTCAGAACACCTGGGGTCAAGTCCACAGTTGCCTGTGGATGGAATCAGAGGATGGCTGGTGGCAGACAAGGTATCTCTTAAGAAATGGATTATTTGGTGGCAGGATATTTCTCCACACTTAGGGAGTCATGAGGCTATCCAGAATTTTGGGACAGAGGGAGAACTGTGACACACAGGCAGGGCAGGTGTGAGGTGGAACAGTGGCCAAGAGCTCTCAAGGACAAAAACTTTGGCCAGAGTAAGAACCTCTGGGCTAGGGCAGGCTGGGGCAAGGGCTTAGGGGACTGGCTTCAGGAGACAGCGCTGACCTTTGAACCAAGATGCCTCTGACAGGGCAGCTTCTCTGGCTCCCCTCCAGAAGACCAGGGTAGGATCCCTTGGCTACGTGCCCTGGGCATCACCTCCCAGGGGCAGGAGGGGAAGGATAAACCAATGAGACAAACAGAAGATCTGAACATCACATACTTTAAATGTTTTCACTGAGAGTTGTAGGTGTTACAACTGGAGAGTATAGCAAGACAAAGGAAAAGAAATTTGAGATGAAGAAAGGTAAGTTAAGGAAGAGGGCAAGGCCAGGGAGATGAGAGGAGGAAAGACTGAATTGGCATAAAAGACTGAGCTTATAAAAGTTTCGTAGTGGGAGAGTGGAAAAAAAAGGAGAACTTTGAATGAAAAGATTTGGAACTTTCTAGAAGGCAAACCCATCACCCAAGAGACTGGGGAGCCAAGTGAGGGGTTTAACAGAATTCTTGAGAAAGCCTCTGTGACTTAGGAACTCAGAGAGTCAAGAGTTAACTGGAGGAGCAAGGCAGGGAAGGTGGGAGGGAATGGGGGATTGTGGGAGCTTTGCTGTCATTGAAGGCCAAGGAAGTAGCAAGAACCTTCAGGGCAGAGGGAACCAGGCAGATCCCGGTTCATTCCAATATCAGAACAATGGAGACTGCACAAAGAACAAAGCAAGCAAAGGAACATTCTGGGCTCTGGGCTTCCTTTGCGGGGGAGGGGGACTTTCATTGTGGGGCAGAAATCATGACATCTGGGTTCTAATCCCAGAACCCTCCCTTATCTTCTGCCTGAACTCATCTAGTAATGTGGCTTTGCTTGCTCTGCAAGCTTGGATGGGCCAACCGAATGAATAAGACACTTCTGTGTCCTAGTTAAGATGTCATTTTTAAGGACTGAATTGGAGCAAGTCTGTGGACTCCTCTCTTTCTCTTCCCTCCCTTCCTTCCAGACCCCAGGCTGAAGCAGAAGAATCAGGGCTCAGATAGAATTTTCTGATCTGATCTGATCCCAGAGGTTTTACACTGGATAACGGGAAGGCTGGGATGAGAGACGTTTCGGAATCAATCTTTCAAACAACCCCTGAGACAGGAAGACAGGGCCTAGGAGAAATGTCATCCTGAGGAATGGGGAATGGGAGCCAAGATGCTTCTCACAGGATGAGAAAGATGAGATCGGGTTTCTGGTTTGCAGTGTATGTGTGTATAGACACGTGGGAAGGCCTTTCTCACCCACCCATATCCCTTCCCCTCTGCACCAATAGGCAGCCTTCCAGGGACTGGCCTGGGGCTGGGTTAGAGGGCAGTGGGTTTAGGGACCAGCTGTACTAGACACTTCTTTGTTTCCACAAAGGGCTAACTGCTCTGCTTAGGGTGGTTTCCTCCAGCTTCATCCTCTTAACCTCCCCTCTAGAACAAACTCTCATAAACCCTGGGGCCAGCCCTGGGGAAGGTTTATGTGTTTGTAGGGGAGGAAAGCAGAGCTATCCTTGTCCTCACAGCCTCACAGGACACTACCCCCATGGGGGCGCTGAGGGCTGTGGTCACCACCCTGAGCCCTAATACCCTCATGATTATGTGATTATGGGAGCCTTGGGAGGAGACAAGAGCTTTGGAATTCTTGAAATAAGTCAGAGGAATCAGTCAATTGATTTCCCTGTGGTTGTAGACTGGGTTAGGACTAGGAAATCTCAGGGCTGACACTGGGAAGTTCTTCTGCCCCAGTCCCACCTCCCTTTTAAAGGGCCATACGTATTACATGCAGAACTGAGGGAATCTAGAATCCCAGTTCAAGGTCATTGTTTCCAGAGTCTGACTGTAGTGAGTCACGTTTTTAGCATCAGACCTTCCACCAGTACTTTGGAGCTGATCTCCCCAGCCCCAGCCCAGGGAGGTACCCTGGCCCTGAGAATGGGGGAGCCCCTTTTCTCCCCACTGGCTCTGGTCTTGAGGGAGTGGATACTGCTTAGCTCACTGTCCAGCCTCCAGGAGGCAGTCACATCCTGCCCTCCCCCATCTAGAGGCAAGGAAAGAGTTGGGCTAGGCTGGCAGGGGCTGACCCCCCAACAGAGCTGAGGGAGTCGATCTGCCTGGAGCCCATGTCCCCTTGCAGGGGAGAGACCAGGTGGCTGCCCAGTGAGCCCCAGACCAATCCCTGGAGTACTGGTATTTACATTTACAACTGAGCCTCAGTCCCTTTGACCCAGAGGAGGCACTGGTCTGAAGCAGCAGCAGCCAGGAGAGAAGGATGGAGCTGCAGGAGGTGGGTGGCTGGAAACAGGCAGAGAGCAAATTCCACACCAAGATGTGGTCAGGAAGTGGGCAGTGATGGGGACGGAGGAGTGGACGAGGTGCAAGGACCACCATGCACGCCCTCCTTGATCCGGGGGGCAGCGCGGGGGGTGGGTGGGGTGGAGGGGCAGGGCTGCCCCTCTTCAGAAACCGCTGTCTCCATCCTGTCTGACCTGCGTGCTGGGAGACAGGCGGAGCCCTGGATGAGGGGAACAGCAGCCCCTGAGACTTTGGGCGTCACAGTGGCCTCCCCACCTGCAGCTGTCTGGCCGTGGCAGAAGCCTCCAGGGGGCAGTGTAGGGGAGGGGAAGGCAGGCCTGAGTGGTGGGTCATAGTTCAGACCTAGAGGCCTGGAAGAGGTGAGGAAATCATCGATAATCGGGTTGCTAGGGAGGGTGTCCCAACACCTCATCGATACTCTCTTCTGAGGAGGCTGGAGCAAGGCCCCAGGGAATTCAGGGTGAAACATCTGGGGCTAGGAGAGGGGCAAAGTCTCCCAGAAGAGGGGGGCTCTGTGGGTGGGACAGGCTCCCCAACAGTGGGAGTGGGGAGGCAGCAGAAGGAAGAGAGCCCCTCCTCACCCCGGGGCTCCGGGGAGGGGCAGGGTTCAGGGTGCGGCCTCGGGGGCTCAGCAAAGGAAGGGCCACTTGGTGGGGACCAGCGTCCAGCAGGCTGAGGAGATGGGTATTGTGCTTATGGACACAGCAGCTCCCTGGCTCCGGAGCACGCAGGCAGTTTTAGGCACTAGAAGATTCCGGATGATGCGGTTCTAGGTAAATGAATGAGACCGAGTAGCCTAGTCGGTCAGCCACTGACCGCACCCACTGGCCAGTTCACACCCAGGCAGCTTCTGCCCGGGTCAGGCCAGAAGCTGACAGGCCTGCAGCTGAGCCCCAAGAAGGGAACGAGGACATGGAACTGGAAGGATTGCTGTTGGGGAGAGGGGGGAACTGGGCTTAGCCTGCTCTCACGCTCCAGACTCTCCTGGGAGAGGGAGTGACTGCCCTAGAGCCCAGGTCTGTGCAGCCACCTGCTGTGCCGGGGAGTATGGCTTTCGGGTGAAGACAGCCCACCCCCACCCCCTGCAGAAGGAACAAGGGAAGGGAGCCCTGGGGGGCTAGAAAGCGCCGCCCCAGGCCCCACCTGCCCACCCAGCTCCACCAGTCGCCCGGCCTGTCCAGGGCCCGGCCCGTCCAGGGGGAATCACACGGTCACTTCGGTCTTGCTGGCGCTGTAGCAGGTGTGGTGGCCGGGGATGTAGTGCAGCTGCTCCACCGTGTTGTGCCTGCGTGTGGCGAAGGCCTGGCGCTTGGCCGCCGTCTGGCTCTGGCCCAGCGTGGCGTAGGAGTTACTGGAGGCACTGGGATGGGAGTGCATCTTGGTCATGCGGTAGCGGTCCAGCATGGGCGTGGACACAAACACGTCTGTGTGTGAGATGGCCCTGGCCAAGGATTGCTCGGGGAAGGCCGTCCGCTCGGGGGACAGCAGCGGGTCCTGGGAGTGCAGGCGCTCGGTGGACAGCAGCTGCTCGTCCGACAAGATGCGATCGTAGGGCATGCGGAACTCGTCGGGCAGGCGCCGCTCCGGGGACAGCACCCGGTCCTGCGACATGGCCCGGATGGGCCGGCGCGGCCTCTCGCGGGGCAGGGGCTTCTGCTGGGACATCTGGATGACGTTGACCGGGAGGGTGCCCCGGGCCGCCAGGTCTGGCAGGTGCCGCCTCCTCATGTAATACTCGTCAGCCTCCTTGTCGGCTGCAGGACAGACAGACAGACAGACAGAGAAGTCAGCTGGGGACGAGGTAACACCACGTGGCAGCAGCCAGGACTGGGCTAGGGTCCTGCAGCCCAGGCAGACGGAGGCTGGGCTTCTGAGAGTCCCGCAGGCTCTCATTCACGCTGGACTTGTTCTCTTGCGTCCGGGGCTGGCCCAAGGAGCTCACGGGCTCCTCGAGTCCCAGGGAGTTATGGCAGCATCGAGGACAAACCCTCTCCTCCAACTCCTGCTTGGTGCTCCTGCCACCTCACCGGTCCTGTAACAGAATGGCTCCTGGGACTGCTGAAACTCCCAGGGGACAGCTGGCAGCTTTCCCGTGGGGCTTGGAGCCTCCCTCCAAGGGGGCTGGGTTGCAGAGCCTGCTCCTGCTACAGTGAAGCTGAGCCAACCACCAGGCACTGTGAGAAAGCTACATTGGTAACTAAGGAATGGAGTAGCACTTTCTCTGGAATAAGAGCTCATGCATAGGAAGCCAACACGTGGGTATCTGGCCCCCACACACCACAGAATCAAGCTACATACCTCTTATGTGCACGCTCATCGGGCCAGAATAATTGGCACTTCCTTCAGGTGCTTCCCCTGGTCTCCATGCAGGAGGCCCTCCCGGACTCTCTGCCTGCTGAACCCTTGAACTTACCCAGGGTACCTATGCCTATTTTGCCCCAAATTTTAGGAATGGGGCTTCCCACAGACAGGCTTTTCAATCTCTGCAGAATATGGGAATGCTGTTGCTCCTCAGTTTTCCCAGAGGACAACCTCTGGCTAGGTCCTGCCTCCTGAGCACATATCCTCCCAGCCTAGGCATGCATTGGGGTCCTTAGATGATTGAAGATCCCCACTGCTAGTCATGAAACTCACCATTCCACCTGATCTGGACTCATGTGCTGGCTGCTTTGATGGTAGATTAACCCATAGCTTTAAGCAAATGCTCAGTCCTTAGTTGGGGGGTCCTAAAAATGGACTTATGCGGGTGCGGGGGCAGTAGTTCCAAGGGTGGGAAGATAGGAGGGAAGAACTATTCACCATGTATCTTCTAGACACTGTAACATCTTAAACCAATCAGGCTGTTTCTTGTATCCCCATCAATCCCTGGAGCCTTCCAGACTCAAATGCAGAGCTGGGATTACTGGGTGAACTGGACTTAGCTGATCAAATAGGGTATGGATAGGAGAGTGGGCCATCTGAGGTTCTCAAGACAGTGTTGGCTGGATTAGGGAGGCAGTGGTTTGGGGGCCCAGTGAGGGGACTCAGAGAAAGCTCTGGTGTTGGCCACCTCTACTCCCAAGATCTTGAGGTGAGAAGGCCCATGGGTTGGAGGTGGTTCTCTCCTGCATGCCTTCCTGGGGAATGTGGACATGAGGATTCCATGGCTCCTGTTCTATCTAAAGGGGAAATAGGCTCAGGCCTCAAAGTATGAAAATAAGGAGCTTGTCCATGGTCTTCTTCCATGCTACCCTTGCTCTTTGTTTTTGGGATTCCACACCAGTCCCTTGGGTGTAAGGCCAGAGAGTGAGACACAGAAGGATGTGATAGAGGCTTAGAGACAGATCTGGGATAACACACTTACTTAGTCTTTTCAGGGAAGAGTACTTGCTGGGGTGGCTCTTCACTGCGGACTCATAGGATGGGGGCAGGTGGGCCAAGTTCTGGAAGGAGCGGGAGAAGGACAGGTCATAGGGCTCGGTGGCTGATGTCAGGATGTTGTTCATTCGTGGCTTCTCTGTAAAAGAAGGGAGGGGTGCATCGCATTAGTGAGAATGAAAGCTGGGAAAGGCAGGAGGGAAGGGGTCCAGGCTGTATTTTGTATCCCCACGTGCTAGGACACAGATAGTGCTGGTGACTCAGTTTCCCTCATGCTCAATTCCGGCTGTCAACAAGCCTGAGTGCAGGTGCTGTTTTGTCTGCCATTGGCCATGATGGCAGTTTTCCTTCCCTTGAATGGCAAACTCTTTCTCCTAGTGCACCCTTGGGCTGTCTGATAAAGATGTGAGCCTGATGGAGCTGGGGTGGGGGGTACAGAGGCATGGTTGTAAAGTGATATGTTTGGGCATGAAAGTTCTGTCATTTCTCAAATAGTTTTAGGCCTATTAGTTCCCTGACTCAGAAAAATCTGCATTTGAAGGAGGGGGAATGACTGGGCTTGTCTACATACTTACAGAACTGGGTACAAGACCTGGTTCCACTGAGACCCCAACCCACACTGTCCATGATGCCATTTCACCTCTCACATCACCATTTCACCTCGGGCTTCTCCAAACCCTGGGCCTGATAAGCCACTGTGAGCTACAAAACCATTTCCTCTCCTTCCATTTTCTTCCCTTGAAGCCCCCTTAGCTATCTCTGAGCTGAGGGAGGAAATAAGAAAGTAAAAATGCTTAGCACATCATTCCTCCTTCCCTTGAGAGATAGACCTTTGAGATTCCAAAACCTGGATAGAGAGCAGGGAGTGTTGTTCAATGCAGGCATGGGTAAAAGAATAGGGGAAGGAACAGAAGAAAAGATGGAAGTGAGATAAGGTGAATAACGGATGAGGTTAATGAGCTGAACTGGGCTCAGGGGGGCAGAGTAGGATTAGCATAGGCATTGGGGCATTGAGATTGGGGAGATGCAGGAATGGGTGAGGGAGGGGACGTGACGGTGGAGGACTGGAGATCTGGGAAAGGCAGACAAATATATCTTGGTGCTTGACTGACTTGAGGCACAGCAAGAAGTCAACAGGTATTCCTGGGGAGACGGTGGTACCATTCCAGCAATGAGGCAGGTGAGTGGCTCTCGCATTATCCTTCCATAGGCTTTGCTTTGGGACACCAGAGGCGGGGCAGGCTTTAACTTTGGACAAATGTAACAAAGGATTGTGGTGCCCCATGCCTCTTGGCAAAGAGAGTGCTAAACCCTGGAAGACAGTAACTTTGTGAACCAGAGGAAAAAGAGAAGCACTCCTGAGCTTAGACCAAAGGCAGCTTCAATACTGGGCATCCCTGGCTTTCTATCCTGTCCTGTCACTGGTTCCTGCAACTCAGGGGTTGAAAACAGGGAAGCCCAGCCAATGAGCCACTGTTCACGCCAGCTCATATGCGAGGGGGTGGGGGATGCTCTGAGAGACCAGAACATGCTGTACAGAAAGAGCCTCCCTGGCATGGACTGGGATAGATGCCAGGACATGGAGTGTGCAGGAAGCTGAGGCCACTGCTTATGGAGCTGGGGATAGCCACCTGCCCCTTAGCTCTGGTTTCTTCACTTTGGCCATGCTGCAGAAGAAAGAACTTCCCTCTGCCTGTTGGCATTATCCCCCCACCGAGTGCATCATTCAGCTTGCCCACTTCCAAGTGCGTCCTTTCTGGCTGCTCTGATCTTGCTCTGTTCTCCAAAACAAGCCACTGAGTGCAGGCCAGGTCTTCCTTGCCTTTGGCCTCCACATGATTGCCCTTGCCCCTTGCTTCTGCTTTCTCTCTGAGTGCAATGCCCTTTCTTACTCTTTCTCCAGTCAGATTTCCCTTCACTCAAGACCCTTCGCTGACGATGTCACATTTGTTCAGCCCACAGTGATTTATGGTCTTCAAGGACCTATGGCTCTACTAGTCCATGCCATCCACTATGTCTATGGGATCTCTAATCATTTTGCTTGAGTGATCTTGATCTCCAAAGATCGTGGTCTCCTTGACAGCAGCGTTCTTGCTTCCCAATTTTTCTGATGCCTTCATAGTGTTTGGCTCAAGATAATGACCCAATTAATGCTTTTTGGTTGATCAAGTGGACACAGGTCGCCTCCTTTCTTAATAGTTGCTCTGTCAGCTCCCAGGAAAAGCATCAGAGTACAGAGCAAACTCTGCCTCCACCAGGTTGTGAGCTGCTCAAGGGCAGGGACCAGGTCTCATTAACCTCCTCTCCTGACACCAGGCAGAAAAAGGAAGGAGGAGGGGGAAGAAAAAAAGTATTTCTCCGGTTGTAATTAGGAGGCTGTGCTTGTGTCGGCTCCTTCTGGGGAAAACTGAGCAAGGCTGTTCTTGCAGAATGTCACTGAAATGTGAGGCATTCTTCGCTCGCCCTTTCTGGCTTTTCTTCCTGCTGCTGCCTCATCACCACGGGCATCCCCCGGGCTGTGTGCTTCTGCCTTCTGCTTTCCTCTCTCAGCCTTCTGGCACAGATTGCTCCCACTCCCAGGGCTTCTGTTACCGCTTCCAAACTGTAACTTACATCTTCAGCTGTGACCTCCCTCCAGACTGCATGTACGCATTTCTAACTGCTTTTGAGTGATTTTTTTTGGAAAAATCTTATGATCATATCCAGCTCTAAGTGTCCAGATCCAAACTTACCATCCTAGCTCTACCTTCTGTACACATGTGTTGTTTTCCTTATTCCTTAGATTGTATTAATAAGACCCCCCCATTCTTCTAATTAATCATAGCTCATTCATAATGAACTCCTAGCAGCTATATTGGTTAGTAATTAAATTTTCCCAATTCTTCCTCCAAAATGTCTCTATTACCACTGCCAGCATCATCAAGCCTAGAAATGGTGATGAATGAGAAGTGATATCAACTTTTAACTGACCTCTTCAATTTCTCCCAGTTCTAATTTTTTTAGAGTCCCCACAACCTGAAACATCTTATTAAACTATTACTATCATCACCGCATATTTATACTAGGAGCCTCGCACTGGGGGTGGAGTGGAGATGAAAATAGTCCATCCTGTCCTCCTAACTGTAATACTCCTCCTTCTCAATGCTGAACACTCAGATGTGAGAGAGGTGGGTCTCTCCGCCAGGTAAGCTGAAGAATGTATCCTTCGAGTTTCTCTCTCATGAAAATTCACTGGTGTTTTCACATTCTTTCAAACAAAGAGAGAAGAATGACTGATAGTTCACCATTTACATGGCTGTCTTATGTTCTATCACATTCTGAGCAGGTACCCCAAATAGTTTTGCTCTGCAGCTCCAAACATGAAGTTGTGAATTGGTGGCAGGATGCTGGAAACTAAGGGGGATGTGTGGTTTGTTACCCTTTTGCACTCTGCTGATACTCCTGTGCTCCCCAACTCTCAGCTCCTTCCCCTGCCGAGAGGCTGAACCTCAAATTACCCAGTTAGGTTTTGAGATTCATAAAATCTTGACTAGTTTGGGAGGATCAATATAGTTTAACAAGTTGCATGTCATTTTATATGGTACCACACGTAGCCTTGGGCAAAGGAGCGTGCTCACTCCTTGCTGCGGATATATGGAGTTGATGACTGCAAGCAAAAATGGGTTCAGAAAGGGTATCGCTTTTTCTCCTTCATGATGGAAGACCACTCCAATATCAGAGCCAGAACACTGAGGGGACAATGATCTAAAGGTGAGAGTGAGGCACTGAGGCCCTGGAGGAAGGTGGGCACCTGACTCCTGACACCTCCTTAGCTTCAATGAGTCAGGGACGGAATGTCTGATGCCCTGATGGGATGGAGCCGCTTGGAATGAGGATGGAATGCAGAGGACTCTCTGTCATCTCTCACCATGTGCAGGGGTCTGGGTAGCACTGCTTAAAATCGGATGGTTATACTGATGATCACCTGAAAATCACAGAAAAGAACATTTTAAAGACGAGTTCAGGCATTCCATTGTCTCTCTAACACAGCAGCTCTTCCCTCGGCCTCCAATGTGCTCCTCGGAGTCAAATGAAGCACTTGGTAAAGGTGCCGGACTTTGGAAGTCATAGAAACGTGAAGAGCAGGGGTCAGTGTATTAGGCTCAAAGGAATTTCCTCTGCTGTTCCAGTCTCTCTCCTGCATCAGGGCTTCCTCAGTCACCATGGTGATCCACCCACATCTGTGAATCTGGCTGACCAGCAGTAGAGGCTTTGCTGGGGAGAGTGCAGGTGGGGAGACTACACAGTGGAGAACTGGGCTGGGGGAGTAGATCCTTCTTTGAAGAGGGGGTTGTTAGGGGGTGGTTAGTCAGGAAGAGGATGCTCTCATTTAAGGTGCTTACACCTTATGAGGCTGTGGTTTGTCCCAAGTCTTTTTTGTTGTTGTTATTAATCAAGTGAGGATTGCTGTTTTTTTTGTTTTGTTTTTAGAGAGAGAGTAGAGGGAAGGTAAAGAGGGGGGAGAGAGGGAGAGAGCAACTTCTATGTGAGAGAGACACATTGACTGGTTGCCTCTCCACAAGTACCCCAACCTGGGCTGGGGATTGAACCTGCAACCCAGGTATGTGCCTTTGACCAGGAATCAAACCTGACCCTTCAGTGATGCTCTAACCTCTGAGCAGCACCAGCAAGGGCCATCCCAAATCTTCATACACAGGTGTCTGGGTGCATCCTGAGATATGGCAAGGTGACATGAAGTGTCCACTGTCTGGCATTGGTAGTCCTAGGGCCTAGATTGTGTCATACCTATAAATGACACAGCCTGATATTTAAAAACAAAAACAAAAACAAAAAACCCCAAACTTTTATTTTGCCCTGGCAGGTGTGGCTCTGTTGATTGGAACATTGTCCTGTATACCAAAAGGTCACAGGTTAAATTCCCATTCAGGGCACATACTTAGGTTGTGGATTTAATTTTGATCCCTGGTCTGGAAGGCAACGAATTAACGTGTCTCTCTCTCTCTCTCTTTCTCTCTCTCTCTCTCTCTCTCTCTCTCTCTCTCTCTCTCTCTCTCTCTCTCTCTCTTTTGTACACTCTCTCTAAAATGAATAAGCTTTTCCTTGGGTGAGAATTCTAAAAGAAATAATAATAAAATAAAA